AAAAAAAAAAAAAAAAAAACTTATCATTGATTTCTTCCGAGCGCCTCTTCTATTTATTTCATGTTCCCTCATAAATATAGTCATAGCTTTTCGATTAACATGCAACCCCCTTAACTAATGATGCATCTTTAAGCTCTTGAATATGGGAATCAATTAGAGGGCTTAAATGGCAGCTTTGGGATATTCAAAACCTTGATCGTGTAAATATTCACAGGCTTTGGGCACGAGTTGGAAGATTAAAGATTTCCCGCATCCAGTCGGCAGCACTGCAAACACATCTTCCCGCTTGACGAAGTGAATCAAGGACTCTTCCTAAACAGGTTTTAACTCCAATATTTCTGTAACTCCGGTATCTAACGCGTACTGAACTGCGCCTCGAAATGCTCTCTCGAATTCACCGCTACTATCCACCGCCATATTGCTTGTTTATTGTTTCTTCGAGCCAAAACCGGTTTTCACTGCTCCTGGGGTGCTTTGCAGGGGTTTAACCAATGAGATCCATTGTTAGATCGTTATCACGCGGAAAGATCTGGCACTAGGTACAAAGACGAATCAACGACCGAGTTCAAAACAAGTACGCATGGAAGTAAGGCTTGCAACTGCCGCGTCCAGAGCGCTTTTTTTTCTCTCTCTCCCCAGGATCTCGATCGCGGCTTCGCCGCTCACAATCGCAGCTTCGCTACGGAAAAAAATCACCCCTGGCACCCAGAGTAGAAATCAGGTTGGTGAAATCTTATATTTAACAATTATTCACCGAAGACGAGGTGAACATTGGTGCATATCCACCAATGTTCACCGAGCCTAAGGCGAATAATTGTTTTAGTATAATTTCCAGAGGTGAAACACAGAATAACGACTAAGACAGACTGTTCGTTTGCATACACACATGCAGTCGTAGTTTTAATAATAAGCTTCCATGTAAGCTTACATCGATTGTGAATCAATTTACACATCAAGCTCGGCAGTAAAACAAACAAGCGAAACACTACGAAAAATGAATTCATTGCGTACCTTCGTTCTATCGTTTTTGACCTCATTCACAGCTGCCATCATCGTCTAAAAATGAGTAGCTTTAGTTTGAAGAAAAATAAATTTCGGTCAATTGATATGACCTGATGGCGATCAACGAAACCACTGCGTTTGCTTAAATTCTTAAATTCCTTGAACACGAGTTTTTGAAAGGATTTTTGGTCCAAGGGCGACAGCAGTCGTTTGAAAAATTCTCCACCCTTCCAATTATCCTACACTTGGAGTGATGTCTTTCGAGTAAATAAAAATTTGATTCAGCAACTGACCGCCATGTTTACTCGCCGAGATGGCAAAGGTGGCAAGCTTAGTGACCAGGCCTCGAAAATGTTATATTCACCGCCTGGAGCGGTGAATATAGCGTCATATAAGGAATTGCTCGACCAATCAGATTGTTGGAAATTCTTTGTTCAGCTCTGAAATTATACTAGATGTTATTAGGTGTTATTAGGTGTTATCAGGATTGATCTTCAAAACAGATGAAAGAAAAAAACACTTTTCGACTATTGGTTTCCTATTTTTTTCCCTTCATATCGAATTTTTTAAAAATCGGTATATATATCCGCAGCCTATCACAAAAATTTAACTGACCAGAAGCGGAAATGTAGACGTGCGAATTTGGAAAATGAGGGAAAATTCCGAGTCGAATAGATCCGCGTTTACGCATGCGGGAGGTTTTTCACGCGCTCAATCGAGTCCACGCGCGCGGAACAATCAGCAAAGTAAGGGAATAACACAATGTCACCTTGCGGTTGTTAGTTCGAAATATTTGTAGTTTTTGATACTAGGAGACAATAGGTAAAAAATCAGGTGGGAAAAGTTTGCATAAACGTGCTTCAATATCGATCTAATGCAAGAAATGTTATCTCGTCTAATGTTGTTGTTTCGTGGACTTTCAAGACCAGAAATATTTGTTTTTCACGTTTAATTTACAGTTCCTTAAATAGGACAATCACATTATTTTTGGAGGGGATATAGTTTATTTGTGGGCCGAGTAGCATCATTTGCGCCCTCGCTCCGCTCGGGCGCAAATGATGCTACGAGGGACACAAATAAACTATATGCCCGACAAAAGTCATTTGATTATCATTATTATCAATACACAAGGCCAAATCATACAAAGTCATTTAAATTAATAAGAAAAAATGTTTCACAGAGATGTAGCATGAAACTATGATATGGAAAGTTGTTGCTTTAATACGATCAGGTAAACAAGAGCCAAATAAAATTCCTTTTTTGTTTACAGTAAAAGTCAAATATAATTCTAGTTTTAAAAAGATAAGCATCAATAATTAGCAAAAATCAAATGACTGCCATGTAAGCCATCCCTCTCTGCCGCAGCGAGCAACATGAAAACAAAACGAAAACTAAAGAAACTCAACTAACTCCGCATGTTTCCAAACGCCGTCCGCGTTCTGTCCTTCCATGAGGTATCAATTCAATTTCTACCGGTCTCCTGACTGAATAGATGATTTGTATTCTGGTTTCGCATCGTTTTCTTTCGTAAATAGCTTCGCCTTCGCTTCAAACATTTTGTTGGCAGACATGAATACGCTGTCTTGCAAAATGTTTATGTTTCGGCTGAGTGGAGCACAGGTTAGATGGCGACGATTGGCAGCTCTAATTCCAGTCAATGTACCTGGAATAATGCTTGGCCTCTCTCTGTTTTCCCTTTCTCTATTTTCCCTTTAGCGAAGAACTTTCGCAGAATTTCACTCAAGTCCGTTGAATTTCACTCAAGTACGTTGGACCGTACTGTTTAGAGATCCACTGTAATTTTTCTTTTCTCACAACATTTCTCGAACTTTTTTACTCCCCGCTCAGTTGTTTTCTTGGTGTTTTTCGCTTGAGCTTTTTGCTCAGTTTCATCCAGTTGCTCGTTGTCTAAGTCCGAGTTTTGACTAGAAAAAAGCTGAAAGTCTGGGACTTCAAAATCTCCAAACGTCAAACGTTCACTACAGAACTACAAAGGGAACAAGTGCAAAGTCATCCACAAAAATTCGCGCCAACTCTAGCATTGAAATGGTATTACGAAATATCATTGGCCGAGCGAAGCTGTTTGACATCTCTGCAGCCACTCAGAATCAGGGTGGCAAATACATTGCCACCACCGCGCATTTTCCGTTTGGCCCGCAAAATGGCGCGTTTTACAGAGGGCAGTTTGTCATTTGGCCGCGTGTATTGATAATACAATCATCATTACATCTGTAGTGCTCACATCTTCATTTTATTTGAATAAACGATCACTTGTTATGGTTTCATTCAATTTCAAACCTCGCATGGCCGGTCTTGACAGTGCGGTTGAAAATTGAAAAGTAAACAAAACAAATAAGTCTCAAGCTTTTCTCACCGAAACGCTTAGCGTTCTGCGCTAGTGCTATGCCCCTCTTCCCTTGTCCCCATCAAACGTGTCACGAACTTTAACTATCGATCTTCATGGGATGTTTAGGGCTTTTTCCGTGTACCTCTTTTTTACTTTCACTGGATGTTTCCTCTCCAACATATTCTGTATGAAAGCTGCCTGGAGCAAATGAATAAACAACTTCTGGCAGGCACGTAAATCCATGTACGACTCTACGAGGAAAGCTACGATCGTTGTTTTGAGATTTTTCTCGGTCGCTGCGATTGGAAGTGAAGCATACATAATGCCGAAGAGAGGAAGACGTAACCAAGGAAGGGGAATTTCTGATGAATGGATGCAAATTATTAAAAAAAAAAAAAACGTAAGCTTTAAAGCAACACTCGAAAAGGCGGCGAAAATACACCACAGATGCCATATTGTTTACATTGCTTCATGGGTTTTTATAACTCACGCGCACGCTATTAGAACCTTAGGCTGCGCGCGCCATAAAATTATTCCGAGCCACCTTAAGCGTGAATCGTTGTTTATGAAAAAAATCACGCAAGCGATGTGTTTAAAAAAGTCAAAGTAAAGTTTAGACGTGATGCGCGACGGTGCGAAAAATTGGTGCGCAATAAAAGTAAAATCGTGTTCTGCTTTCTTTATCACCCCATGAGTACGTGAAAGTAATGGAAGTAATTTTCACGCCAGACATTTGAGCACCCAACGAAACGTAACGATGACACTGAATTATTAGCACACAACATCAATTATTGTCAGTCATGATGGCACTCAAGAAGGAGGCGAAGATACACCACAGACGCCATATTGTTTACATTGCTTCGTGGGCTTTCGTGGGCTTTTGTAACTCACGCGCGCTATTAGAACCCAGGCTGCGCGCGCCATAAAACTTTTTTGAGCCACCTTTTAAAGGCACATAAAAGCTTCGAAACAGAGAACGTATTAATTAAAAAAGTTTCAAACAACAACAACAACAGCAACGGTCTTACATTTTACATCCAGTGAAGCAGCTTTGGAGGTAGTATTTCCAAGAATATTACTCGCCACACATCCATATTCTCCGCTGTCTGTCCTTCTCACATTCGTTATTGTCAACTGCTTGTTGTCTGCCGAAAAATTGATCCTGGAATTATTAATTGTCTCTATGGGAGATCCATTTCTGGTCCATGACATTATTGGTACTGGATTTCCATCAGCGTCACAAGAAAAAAACACGTTTTCCCCTTCTGATTTTGTTTCAGTGTCTGGATGAACAGTAATCTCAGGTGGATCTGTAACAGTAAAACAATCTATCTAAGAAATGACAACATAATCACTGAATTTGAATGGCAAGAAATACAATGTTTTATGAAAATCTTACCACAGGAATCTAATGCAAATAACTATAAGTCAGCAAGCTAATACACTTGGGCAGAGCTTTCATTCTTCCTGATTTACGACTGCAGATTCACGATTGGCCATGTGATTAACACGTCATAACACTTCTTATATAGCTTCAAGGCCCTTAAACAGTGACGTAATATTACAAAACTAAACCATCTTGTTTAATTTGGTTTCCACCAAAGGAAATATGTATTTTAGGTTTTGACAAATTGCATCTAAACTGGAGTTCTTTGAAGAGAAAATCATCAAAATCGTTTGAGATGACTTTTAATTCATTCATACTGGATTCAGTATGGATTCAAAATTTAACGAGAAACTTGTCAAGTGGAGCCTGTTTCTTTCTTCTACCGTTTTATTTTATTTGATGGAGAGGGTAACCGCTAGTAGGAAAGTTAAAAATCAGGCGTTGAACGCCTGCAAAATAGGGTCACTCGTTTTCCATAACGTTCTCTTTTGACCTCTGCCACAATACTTTACAAAGTAAATGACACTCTCAAAACCGTGCTCCATGTAAAACATATACACTCTGTTTGAACACGCTTGATTGTCAGTCATCAGCATACACTCAACCAAAAACTCGCCAAACAAAAATCGACATAACAAATGATATATACATACAGTCCAAGCTCTCCTCGCGACCACTCTCGTAAGCAAGCAGCTCTAATTACGACCACCTTTGTGAAACCCCGTTTGTAATGAAAAGCTCTCGCAAGCGACCGCGACCACTTTTGTGATTACCCAATTGGACTTTTTTTTTGCTTTTAAGCTCTTGGAAGCGATCACTCAAACCGCACACTGCGAAAATGGTTATTTTGGTCAAAAAAATTGAACGTACAAGTTTAGCCGTGTCTATATCAGATACATTGTATAAAGACACTCGCTAGTTTGCACATTAAATTCTTTTGTTTTTTCTTTACGAATTGTTTATAGGTTTCTGAAGCTCCCGTAAGCGACCACCCTCTATTGTTTTACTATGTGGTCGCTTACGAGAGCTCATCTGTGGATCTACTCGACTATGACTGGTGAATCTTCCCTAAAAGCTTCTTGGAGAATGTTATAACGAAATTTATCATCGAATAATACGACTCATACCGTTGGCGTGGATTTGTTCATTACCATTTCTTTGGTTGAAATGTCAGACAGAGTAACCCTAAGTAGTAAGGTTGAACATTCTCAATTGTGCCCTCTTTGAAATACCCAAAAAGAGTACTATAAATTACAGGCTCATAACCTTCTATTTGTAAAAGATACACGTCCCGCTTGAGCACACTTGAGTAACACTTACCTGCGCATACTCAAAAAATAACCTCGCGAAAACAAAATACTGAAGTATAGCAATTAAAGCCTATATACTTGACGTGTAAACTTTTTTGTTCGTCTTTTGTACTTACACTCTACTGAAATCTCCATTGCACTGTTAGAAGATTCTCTGTTGCTGCTGTATATGATCAACCAGTAAGTTGCACTGTCTGCCCTATTCACTCTGAGGAACGTGATCGATATATATGTTTCTATTACATTCACTAATAAACGACCTCTGTATGCAGGAGCTGTAAACAGCCATCCTTGGAAGGTGCGATCCAGTCTTATGAGGTGTATGTCACTATATCCAAAGATAAGCCCACGAAATGTTTCACATCCAAAGTTGTACCTCCATTCCAGAGTAATATTGTTACCTTCCACTGGAGATTTGTCACGAGGCTCTTCGGTAAATGATGGTGCACTGCCTGAAAGGAAACGACAATAATCCTTCTATCAACTCACAACACTTTGCTTAGTTCTTTTCATGAACAAGAAGTGTTCTTAGGGCTCTAATGGCTCCGGTCTTTTTTGCAATAACTGCGCGACTACTGTTCGCTTGTTGTTTTCACAAGACTATCCAGCCTAAACATATATTTCGGAAATGCATTCATATATTATTCAATTAAACTTGGGAACTCTAGATAAATTGTTAAACATGCTGGTATAAATAGTGGCCCTACGAAACGTATGTCTACCACTACATATATTATAACAATCTGTAAAATAACTGAGATATTGCATGCGCTATGATTGGTCAAAACAGTTGCCAAACCCAAGTCACGGTTCTATCGCACAGATGAACACATAGTTTCTTTGTTACATATTAATTGTATGGCCTGTTCCCTAAAAGGAGCTCATTTAACGTAATCCCTAAGAACCAAAGGTCGATACTCTTCCGGTGGTTTTTCCGGGGATTTGTATTTCAATGTCTAAGAGTTTTCCACTTTTTGCCCAGTTCGAGTCTATCGCTTGCTTACCACTGCTCAACATAGCCTAGATCGTTTTTAGAATCTGCTTTGAACAGAATTGTTTCTATTTAAATGAAACAAGAAGATCTTTAAGATCTTACAACCGCGCTTTTAAAAGTTGACTGCTTTGGTAGCGCTACAGTCGCAATGGAATGCACATTCCAAAGCAGTCCTTGATGATTCATTGATTACTGCAGACACCACGTCACATGATCAACACAACCTGTATTATTGCACCATCAGTGGTAACCGTTGTGAAATTTCCGATGACGTAATTACTTCCGGCACATGTCATAATAAGGGTTCATGAGTGACCCGAAGAGAAAAAAAGAAACGAAAAAAAAAAAA